CAATGTAGAAAGATTTATTACAATCTGATTGAATAAGTACTGAGAATGTTATTACACATTCTCTCAGTGTGAGAAAAGCCTCTTCACACACAGCATTTCAGATGATTGAACAAAACTTCTTCTTTCACAGATTTGCATCTATTTCTCTTAAGAGATCTGAGAGTGATGCAGATATTCATGTGAAATTCTTGATAAATCTACAGTAGTATGAGATCAACTCAAGAAACTATTATATATGATGTACATTTCTCAGCTGCAGTTAATTCACTATAACATTCAATTTCTCTGAAATGAGATATATACAGTTATCACTCACTATATATCTCATGAACTTCAACTCTTCTGTTTCAAACACACACTTGATTAATTTAATATAGAGCTTATACTCTGTCAGAGTTATAAGCACTTCATTGAGATGCTTCAGATATTCATTATATAAGTTTGAAAAGACTAGAATGTTATTGAGATATATGAGACATGAGATTTCATTCTGTTTATAAAGAATTGTATTCATCATTGTTTAAAAGATAGCAGATGCATTTATCAGACTGAATAACATTATCAGAAATTCAAACTTCTCTAATTGTATATTAAATATGATTCATGAGACTGACAGTTCATCTACATGAATCTGCTAGTATTCTGAGAGAAGATTGATCTTTGATAGATATCAGATATTTCTGATCATATTCAACTATTATTGAATTCATGACAGTGAATATTCATTCTTGATCATAAGCTTGTTAAGTGCTCAATAATTGATACATATTCATCACTCCTCATCTGCCTTTTTCATGAATAGAACTGAAAAGCCTCACACACTTGATGAGAGTCATATGAGACCACATTCTAGAAGGTCTGTGATCTGATACTTCTGTTCTTTAAGGTGTATTTGTAACAGGGGATACACATTCTGATTGACTGGTTTTATGTTCCTCATATCAATCTCATGTACAAATCCTCATTTCAGCAGTAATTTCAGTGAAAGATCTGTTTGAAAGATCTTCTCATGCTTCTTCAGAAGCTTCTTCATACACTTATTCTCTTACATATTCTTTATCTTGGTTTTCTCTGCTTTCAGATTCTGTATGACATACAGAATGCTTTCAGATGAGATCTTATGAATCATTCTCTTTACTTATTAATGTATAAGCAGATTTAACTCTTCTATATCAGAGACATGAAATGTTCTTCTCATATCAGTTGATAGAATTGTATGAATCATTTTCTTTCTATCAGTCAACTGCATATGACATGTACATCATTGAATCTGCAGATTAAATCTTTGAAATCAATTGAGTCTGAGAATAAGATTGTATTTCACATTCTGCAGCTCTTGCACTCAAATATAGCAAGATCATTCTTCAAAGTGCAAGAAAACTCTTACTTTTACAGGTGATATCAGATATCAGTTATCAGATAATCTTATATATCAGAGATTCTTCACTCAGTGAACCTCTTTCAATCTTCAGATTATATAATCATTAATATATTGCATAGAAGCTTCTGTATCTGCTAATACTTTTGCAGTCATCTCTCAATTCTTATTTAAGTGCTCTCTATACATTAACATTTCAGGCTTCAAGACATTGAGATGAGTGTTCACTTCATTATTCTCACTTATATCTCATTCAGAAGTCTGCTTCTTCTTTGCATTTACAGAATTCAGAGAGTTATCTAACATGAGCATCTCTTTCACTTTGAAGACTTTTCATAGAATATCAGCAAGTGTTTTTGAGCTCACTGATTCTGCTAGTTTTTTAACTCTCTTGCTTCTCTTGACTGCATATACTGAGTGTAATCTTTTATATCATGATTTTAATATTTACAGTTGAAGCAAGCTTAATGCTTACAACATCAAGATTTTCACTCAGAGAATTTCTTTTTCAGAGAATTCAGTGCTTTAGTAATAATATTCAGATCTAGATTTATCATATCTAAGTGTGTGACTTGTATCATAGAAGTCTGATTATCTGTTCTTCACTGAGATATACTCAATTGCAGTATTTTCTGTTACAATTGACTTACTTATTCTTATACAATGAGAATGTTGTATGCTTTCTTCACTATGCCTGACTGTGAGATTAAACATTTTCATTTCACTCTTAACTCAGATATAAGATTATGAATGAAGATCTGTAAATAGAAAGATGTTGAAAGCTCTTCATTCAATATAAGATAGTATAAACTGAAGTGTGTAAAGTATAATGTAAGATCACTCACTTATCTACATTCAGTAAAGTATTCATAATACTTATCTTATATATTCACTTTCTCAAAGTTGTATAAGATTCATTTGAAAAACTCATTTCATATTTATAAGAATGAATATCACTTCAGATCTGTGAGATTCATCTTTTTATCAGCTATTTATAATAACTTCACTTTTCTGTATAGAAATATGACAGATCTTAAGATCTATTGAAATTCTGTTAACTATCTGTCTGTGAGTTCATATTCAATCTGATAATATGATCATATCTGACTTAGCCAGCTGATTACAGTATCATTTTTTCAGTTATCATTGAAGCTTAATAACTTTGACAGATCTTCTAACTTGATGTATTTCATACTCAGATTCTCATTCTGCACAGTGATCTCTGATAATATATACACTTCTGAAGAGATTGTGAACAATTGTAATAAGATCTTCAGATTCAGTGTAGTCATCTATCTATGTAAATATTCAATCTTCTACTGCAGGTCTAAGATCTGGTTTTCTCTATTCTTATTAATGATGATAATTGCATCAGCAAAGCTCTTCATAGTGAATACTTAGTCTGCAGTGAATGTCAATTGTTATTTAATCTCTATCTCAGTCTACTACTGTGTACACAAGGCCTTGATCTCATTTAGAATTCTCATACATGTACAGAGCTTCAATTCCAGTTCAGCAGTTTCAGCTGCTTTTCTTACTGCTTTGAGTAAACTCTCTGAGAGATTCTGCATATCTTTCAGTTCAGGTAGCAGAGAAGAGTGTTATTCATATCAGCTAGAGAAGATATTCATTTCAGTGATTTCTGATTGATTATACAATGTCTATTATTATATTACTTGTATTATTATATCACTATATCACTGTATCATTATATCACTATATTATTCTATTACTATATCATTATATGATTTCTGTTATCATTATACAACTTCAGTAATAGTCACTCTCTCTTTTATTCTTCTTTTAAGTAGGAAGCAGACTTCTTTGAATCTGATTCATCACTCTCATTCTCTTTCTCACATCTTATTCATTCATGTCTTATACATGACATGCATCTGAGTGTAGAGTTTTTTCTCAATAAGTGAAGCAGTATCAATCAGATGCTCTTCTGCTCATCACTCTTTATATACTATCTTTTTGAGATATTTCTAGAACCACACTGGTATGATAACTACAAATCACTTTGTAGATGAAATTATCACACTCTGAAGAAGTCTGTACTTCTCACCAGTTTTTAGACATGCTATCAGATGTGATTCAAAGATTGCTTAAGCCAGCATATGATTACAGGCATATGCCGGCTTCTTATATATTGAATCTCGTACACTAAATTAATTAGTGGCTGCTAGGGCCCCCCTTTACATTCGTACGCGTACACTAGTAGTTCGGAAGCAGCCGCGTTATTATCCAACGGTCGTACATTCTTCCGAATCACAAGATCAGATTAATAAGCTCAGTATAATTAATTAATAAACTCTGATATTATAATATCATTATCTGTATCTTATAAGTCAGCTTTATAAGATAAAACTATATTTTTAATTGATTTAAATTATTAATTAATTTCTCTTAATATTCTTTAAATCTTATATTAAAATTGAAAGAATTCTTATTATTTTATTAATATAATAAATTAAACTACTATACTACTATAAAGCTGCAGTTACAGTAATCTTTAATTTAATTTAATAGAAAGTTCTTGAATTCTTTTTAAGTTATAATAGTATTAATATACTCAAGCTTTCTCTTCTTAATAATTTAAGTAGTTACAGAGATATCTTCAAGAAGATTAACAGTATATATTACTTATATCTTATAAGTATTATACTAGCTCAGATTAAGGTGAAATTTCTGTTCAAGAGTATAGATAAAGCTATGAAATTCAGATAAGATATTTTTCTTATATTTTAATAAATTTTCAATCTTAATCTCTCTATCTTTATAATAGATGTAGATATATAGAGACTGTGACAGTGATAGAGTAGTTGAAAAGCTTATATTAAAATATACAGTGAGTTCAGAAATCTCAGATTTCTGTCAGAATAAAGATGTATATACTCTAGAAAATAATGTAGTATTTCTCTCAGAGAGTGAGATCAGATCAGTCTCAGTATAAGTATATAAGATTATATTAGTCTGTTAAAGCTTAACTGATTTAAATATATAATCAGATTAAGTAATTTGAATTATAATATAATAGAATCAAAGCAGTGACTAGTCAGTAGTATTATATAGAGATAGTTATTTTAAAAAGCTGTATAAATAAGCTTAACTATCTTGCTTAAATAGTGAGCTTATAGACTACAGAATTATTATGAGAATATCACAGATATAATACTTAGTATACTAAGAAGATTGTATAAGATATACAGTAACTCTTATATATATTTCAGTAGAAGAAAAATAAATTACTGATTTCTTTAATAAGAAGTCAGTATCTAGCTATTCTATATAGATAATGAGTGAATACTCTTCTCTCATTTCACAGATAAGAATAGCTGGAGCAATACCTTAGTAATGTCTTATTATCAAGGAAGAGTAATCTGCTGACCTTGTATAGAAGTGGGGTTCTTATATTCATCAATCAGATCTTCCTATGATATATCTGAATGATGTCATAGGGTGGTTGGAAACCAGTTCGAACAGGATGGAATCATCCGCATGGAAGCGATGGGCCGTGTGGAACCGCAACGGGGCCTTGGCGCGGCCGGGAGCGTGACACAAATTACAAGAAAAGATGTATTGAGGTCAGCTTACATAACGAGGTCAAGTGGCGCACTTAGCGAGGTATTTTCTGCTTCCTGCTACTCTAGCAACGGCGGAACATTCTCCGTTCTTCTCCGCCCCACCATTCATATGCAACGCGACGGGAGGCGATGATGGGGAGGGAGATATCTCCTATTACTCTTGCTACTCCCTTCACCACACTTTACATCCTTGGATCCAAGTACCTAGAACTAATAACAAGGTGGCTGCATCTAGTTATTTGAAACTTCCTACACTCTCCCAATAGATCTCACCCAGCGATGGGGGACCTTCAAGGACAACGGACCACTCCTGCGCCTTCAGGCAAACCAGAGGATGTCCACGAGAATGAAATGACCCTAACTGTCCACCATCGTGGAACGGACCATGCCTTCTCTTTGTCCCCAACTTCCACCCTCCAAGATCTCTCCGCCTCCATAGCCGATCGGCTCTCCATCCCGGCCGCCAACCAGAAGCTCCTCATATCTCCCAAACCCGGCATGCAAAAGCATCCTTTTCAACCCATTCCCCTCACTACCCTCCCGTCTTCCCTGCCTCGCTTCAAAATCACCCTCCTCGGCAGCACCACTGCTGAAGTAGATTCAATCAAGGACGCCGCACCCTCATCCCCGCGCCCCTTCGCATCTTCTCACATAAAGCCCGCAAAGCCCGCAAAGCCCACCCCCAACCGCCCCCCTACCTCATTCTCCCAATACACGTTCCACACCCTCCTCCCACTCGCACACCTTCCCAACCCCTCCCGCTCCCTAGCCTACCTAACCCGCCTCCGCGATGACCCCGGCATCCGCGCCGCCATGAAAACACATAAATTCTCCGTCCCCCTACTGACGGAGATGGATCCTGCCGAACACACCACCTTCTCCTCGCGCACCCTAGGCCTAAACCGCAACAAGGGGGAAGTCATAGAACTGCGCCTGCGCACGGACGCCTACGATGGCTACCGCGACTACCGCACCATCCGCAAGACGCTCTGTCACGAGCTTGCGCATTGCGTGTTTGGCGACCATGATCGCGACTTTTGGGATCTCACGGCGCAGGTTGAGAGGGAGGTGGAGAGGGCGGATTACTGGGGTGGTGGGAAGAGGTTGACGGATGAGGAGTTTTATAATCCGGCGGATTGGGAGGATATGCAGACTGGGCGGGAGGGGGTGGTGGATCATGGTGCTTGGACGGGAGGAGAGTTTTCGTTGGGTGGGAACGGGGGAAGGGAACAGGTGGGATTGAGTCGGAGGGAGATTTTGGCAGAGGCAGCGGAGAGGAGGGCTGCAATGGCGAGGAGGGAAATGGAGGAGAAAGAGAAGGAAATGGGAGGGGAACCAGGGTGATGGGGAGGTGGGGTTGAGACATGAATTTATGATATATGGTTATATGTATTCCTTTTTTTGCTCGACGCATAAATGACTACTTGTCATGTGGCGGTGTTTTGTCTTTAGCCTAGAAAGACATCGTTACTCGCACATCCGATTTCTTATGCCACCTTATACATGGAGTCTACCTAGTCAGAAGAGATATATCACATCTTATATTAATCGGGAATCGGGCTGTCTAACTGCCCTCCTTCTTTGCTCACTGCTCATTAATAAACAATCCAGCCATCCCCTGTCCCGTCCCAACACACATACTCGTCACCAACACCTTCTTCTTCGTCCTCCGCGCCTCACTCAAAATCGTACAAACCTGTCTCGTCCCTGTGCATCCCAACGGGTGGCCCAGTGCAATAGCACCTCCCCGAGGATTTACCTTCTCGTGATCCAGGCCAAGCTTATCAATACAGTAAACAGCCATGGAGGCAAACGCCTCGTTGATCTCGAAGATGTCAATGTCTTCATTGCGCAGATTGTACATTGAGAGGAGTTTGGGGATGGCGATGGAAGGGCCGATACCCATGATGCGTGGTGGGACACCAGCGACGGTTGCGCCGACGAATTTGGCGAGGATGGGCTGGCCAAGTTCGATGGCTTTGGAGCGTTTCATGAGGATTACCGCGGCGGCTGGTTAGTGAGAATAAATGTTAACGGTATATGCATAAAGAACTTGATGGGAGAAAAAAAGGGGCTACACACCTCCATCTGTAATCTGACTCGCATTCCCACCCGTCGTTTTATTGCCAAACTGCGGAAACGCAGGCCTAATTTTACTCAATGACTCCAGCGTCGTCCCGTACCGCGGCCCCTCGTCCTTGCTGACCACCACCTCCTCCGGACCCTTCCCATCCTTCCCAACCTTCACCGTCGTCCGAATCGGCACAATCTCATCCTCAAACCAGCCAGCCTTCTGCGCCACCTCCGCCCTCCGGAACGACTCGACGGAATACCGATCCTGCATCTCGCGCGAAATGCCAAAGTCATCCCCGACATTCTCGCTCGTCTGACCCATGGGCTGCATGCAGTCTGCCGCATCCGGCTCCTTCATGATCTCCGGATGGAAAGGTTGCGGGGTCCGGTCGGGGCCTTTGCTCATGGACTCGGCACCCAGGGCAATGCCGATCTCGATGGAGCCCTGTGCGATCTCATAGGCCACGCTTTGAATTGACATGAGGCCCGAGGAGCAGAAGCGGCTGATAGCGGCCGCACCGGCGGTGTAGGGAATACCAGCGGCGAGAGCAGCTGTTCGGCATATTGTGGAGGCTTTGGCGTTGTTTGCCTGGTGTTTATTAGCGTATTGAGCCCTGATTCCCTCACTTGTATGTACATGGAGATATATACGTACATTCCCCATAACAACATCGCCAATCAGATTGGGATCTAGTTTCGACGTTGCCATCACTTCATTCAACAGCTGGAGGACCAGGTAATCGAGATCTGTATCCTTGAAACCACCCTTGAATCCCTTCGCCATCGGCGTCCGCAACGCCAACGTAATGACAATGTCATCGGAGTTCTTTTGTGTTCTTCACGTCGTTATCATTATTTATAACCCAACCACTATGAGATATTCCAAAGCTGGAAAAAGGTAGAATGAATCTCACATCTTGTCAACAGCGCTCTGCCAGCCTGTCGGTGGCTTCAGCTGTGCTAGGACAGCCTGCAATCTTTCGTTGGCCATGTTATGGTTTGTGCTTTTCTCTCGACTCACTCTCTCTTTTTTTTTTTTTTTTTTTAGTTCGTCATGTTGTATTGTCCAGTGGATGAATGGAGTAGATATGTCAAGTATGTTATATTTGTATCTAATAGAAATAAGCGCTTCGGTTTCCCCGCACCACCTCTTCTTGTATTGGGTATTTCAAGATGAACCTCGGCATTCCGGGCTGGATGTTAGTGGGGAAACCTAGTTGGGTTTAGTCACTTGTCGGGATTGGGTGTGGTTTCGGCTAAGATCCTGAGGTCGGTTCGGGCACTAATTTGGGCTTCTCGGCTAATTAGTGCGTCAGGTTATGTTGAATACATAATCGAACCGGGGCACCACCTGTACATATATAATCTAAAATAGACGGTATTTCGGTATGGGAATTTTATTTTCCTATATATAGAAACATATAGCTACCGTACTTCCGAATCGCTCCATAAAAATCCAATATAAACCATGGGGTATAAGAACAAATTCGTAAGGTCGGAGTCCTCGTGAAACTGCTAGTTTCCAAACTGGAGTTTAGTCTGCCAGTCCCGGAAGAAGTGAGACAATGGTCGTGTCTAAAGTAATAATAAATGAGTGCGAAAATCGTGAAAGCCGATGGAAAAAGTGGGCCAAACGGAGCATATACGTGAAATCATAGAACAAAGCTGAGTCCCTAAATTTGGATGGTGTTGCAATTCAATCTTCCGTTGGACACGTGCTATCTGGGAATTATCTGACAGGGTCGCCTTGCGTCCCAGAATCTCAAGGCCTTTGGATCGATGATTAGTAGTTTGGCGCCGGTATGAGAATCTCCGATAGACTTACGTTGTTACCAAACACAGTCAAGACTTCTAGCCGATTTATCGAAGAGACGATGTTTCGGTGTATTTTGGGCATTTATCTGGTTATCCCTCGAAATCGACTTAAAAATCTCGGTGGATCTGTAGGGAGTTCCACCGCTGGCTTTACGTTTTTCTTCGGAGCCAGGGGCTCCGCCTGCCGTGGTAGTTCATGCACACGCGGTGGATCCCTGCTACTTTCCGGTAACTCGTACTTCGGAGACGCGGGCTTCTGTGGCATAGGTGGTGCAGACGCCATAATATCTCCCTTTTATCTTCCAGTTAGTAAAGGTTATGACACCAAACCAGAGCTCGTGATGACACTTACGGTGGAATGTGACAAAGCTAATAAGAAGGAATACGTACCTGGGCTGCTACTGGCACCCTTTTGACAAATGCTGCTCCTGATGTCGCGTCAACCCAGGCCATGATGATGGCATCCTCATCCGTCGTTGCCATGTATGCCATTGCAAAGGAATCTGATTTCGTCGTGAGTTCCCTGGATGTAGCCAGTCTTTTAATATCCATAGGACTCGAGTCCAGATTGGATATTTGGTACAGATAACCCCGGTCATTTACCATCGCGAGCTCAGAACCAGAGGGAGAGAAAGCAGCGCATTGGATCCTATTACCGAGTTTCCCATGCCGGCCGGCATGGTCGGCCTTTATTTCCGTTTTATTGCCTTCTTGGGGATGCGCGAGGATAGGTACCCCTGATTGTGTCCACGTCGTGATGCACACGAGTTCATCGCCCCGGCGTGAGGCTCGGAATACTGCTGCTGACACTCCATTGTCTTCCGACTCGTGCAATGGGACGTAGTATCTACAAGCTGGCAGCTCGTGGAACGCCACAAAAGGAAATTTCCATTGGAATACCTGGATTACCCCCTTTGGGTTCCGGGTGCTGGCAAGAAGTACAAGTCCGTCTCTCGAGAACGAAAGTGTATCTAATGTGCAATTAGTACAAGTCCTGTGGAAAAGACCGTGGAGCCGTTCTTCTCGCGGGGGTTCCGAATCTGTGGTCTTAAAGAATCGGACAATCGAGTTCTCAAATCCAACCACGACGTAGTTCTCCATTGGGCAAACTGTTATGCATTTGCACCAGAGTGCCGAAGGCATGCGGTGCTCAACAACAGGGGTCGACGCATCAATAAGGTTTATTATCCGGAGCTAAGTTAAAGTTAGCAAAATTGTGGTAACAGATACGGACCCGGGAAGTTACCGTTAATTTATTATCGCGCGTACCAATAACGTACGCCAAATACATCTTGGTAACTGCTGCAAGAAGACATGTACTGTCGGTCGAAAATGCGCGTTTCATGGTTGGCGGAGAGGTCCCCACATCCCACACATGTATCGTGGTTTGAGTCCAAAAGAGGGCAAAAGTAGAATTTTGCGAAAGATAAACATTGATATTCTTTGTAAATCTTCCTTTCGTGCTCTTCATCGCGTTGACTAAGCTTTTCAGGGGTATTTCATCAAGCCTCTGGGATTCCAAAAGAGATGATGAAAGAGAACTAGTGTCCCCAGACACTGATATGGACTCCTTTCTTGTGCCGGTGATCTTCAGCCAGCCTGATTTTCCTTTGTCAGGAGACCCAGCGGATTGTAAGGTCCGCGACCGCACAAATGGGATAGATTCAAAAGTTGCTGTGGTCATAGACTTCTCAATTCCGGGTAGACTTGCTCCCTGAGCAGAGTAATCGTGAGAACCGCGGGCATGCGATTCACTGATGCTACCCGGCCTTAATGTGTTGTCTTCTGTTTCGTTGATTGCAGTTAAGCTATCCATGGGTGAAAATTCCGTTCGAGGGGTATGAAATTTGGGCCGTATTACTGGGGTAAATGGGGATGATGGAGTAAGAGGAGCCGCACTGGATCGCTCTGAGGGCGCGAACATCGGCCGAGTGAAATGAGGTGAGTCGATTTCTTGTGATCTCGGGCTCACTGGGCTGGTTAAGTTATTGTACGATGTGAATGAGTTGCCAGCTTCAGCTTTCGGAGGGGGTAATAGAAACTGTGTCGGTAGATGTCTCTCTACACCGATTGTGTCCGCATTTGATTCGAGATGGGAAAGAAGGTTCCAAGTTCGCCGCACGAGCTGGATTTCTCGGGCCATTGTCACAACATCTCCGCATTGTCGACAGTTTGTCCCCGGGGGAATAGTAACTTCTGCAGCTTCTCCAGAATCAAGCTGTGATGAAAAAGGGAATTAGCAGCTGGGGTTAAGTTGGGGTTAAGTTGACGAAGTAGATTTTGTAGACGAGAGTATTAGAAGGGCTTTCTATAGAAGCTTAAAAACGTACTGGAATATCAATATTCTCCAAATATCTCAGCTGGGAATATCCCGCTAAGTGACACCCTCGACAATTTAGAACATACAGACTGGGGCGGGATGCTCTGAACTGGCCACTAGGATCGACGAACAGTGCAATGCTCCGGGTTATTTCAGTTATGCTGTGAACCACTTCCCTATCACTCACACGGCTAATCAGCCGACGACAACTAAGGTTTTGGCAGAGAGCATCCAGCGCATCAGCCACATTTACATCGCCGTCAGGTTCAGACGAATCCTGAGTTGTAACGTTGGGGGTATTCGGAAGAACAATTCGAAAGTGGTCGCTGAACGACGCAATCAAGTCTGGTTTCGATAAGTGATGCGGTAACCTGACACTGTCCAAAGCAGTCAAGACTGTGTTCCGAGTTTCCGATGATAATGCCTGGAGTTGTGGACTTCGCGTTCCTGTATTCACTGCATATTGAATATTCGCCCCAACTACGAACAGCGTGACATCCCTCAAGGCCATAAGTTGACACAGCCAGCCATCAGATCCGTCCTTTGGCACGATAGTAGAAACCGACTCCGATAGCAGACAGTGTGCGAGTGGATACTAAACATAGGAAGAACTATTAGTTACAAGAATAGATACACATATCCACCCTCTATTTCATGTCTGGTTGCCGCATACCAATTCTGATCCCAGATTCGGCAGTTCATATCTCAATCTTGAAGGAAGAGCGAGAGAATCAGGATCTCTTCGCAATGAACCTGTTACTTCCTTGCAGACCTGCAAAAGAAAAGATTTTGGACCCGGATAGCTATCATAAACACGCTCCAGTGACCTATGTATGCGCGAAAACCGTTCTCGACGATCTTCGGCTCGATGGCCCGTTGGTGCCTTCGGATGTAGCGAGAGAAATCGGAGGGATAACAGAAGGAACTCTGCAAGGTAATGATCCCTAAGTCGGCGAACTTCCCATAGACTGTCTCGGCCCTCTTCAACAATTTGTATGACAAATTCCACACATCGCAAGCTTGTCTCCCAACTCGCCAAAAACCCAAGGTATGGCCCCGTGTGCATTTTCTCAGCGGGTAGTGATAGACGTTGGATGTAGAAAATAGCGTTCAGTTGGGAGAGCAATGTTGTCACGAGGGCCTGATAGGATTCTTTATTACCATCTGAATATATTTTCTCCAGAGAGAAATGGCCTAGTAATTCTCTGATGATATCCTCCACGTCGCTTCGAAGCGCAAGGGCCTGCCAAACATTTCCCAAGCGCATAGATAGCGAGGAAGTGACTGTGGCCGTAGCCATCTCATGCAGTCGAGTGAATCCTGAAGCCTTTCGCCACGTTGAATTCCCAAACTATTGGATATTCGGCCGTTTTGAGCACCACTTGCTCGTTATAAGTTGGATTTTTGTTAAGGGTTAGGTGATCTGCGAGCAATTTTAGCTCCGCGCTGTAGTTACATGTAAAGGGACTGGAATGTCATAGATGGTTTTAGGGTTATTCGCTAATGAGATGCGCACTTGTTATCCCCGCCATGGGACTCTGGTTCTGCGCATGTGGCTCACTGGGCGGCTTGTGTGGGTTCGAAGAAACTGAGGGCTGGATGATTTGAGCATTAGTTGCTGATTGAGGCGCAAACGACAAAAAAAGGGGCAGATTGGGATAGAAATATTCTGGTTCGGTCCGTGGCTGTAGCACAGACAGGGATACTAACAGAGCCTGTGGGGCTTGGGATACCGAAGATAGTAATTGGCTAACTATTTCAGCTCCGTTTCGGTCGACTTTAACTCGGGAAGAGCCACAGCAGGCAAAAGTCCAACCTCACGTGGCTGTGTTGACCCTGACCCGCCTGGTCGTCCTGAAGACGTCTTTGATTTACGCAGGAGGCATGCCGTTGCGGCTCATCGGGAGACTAACGTTCAATCATGATTATACGGTGTCGTATTTGGGAATCATGGAAATCATGGCTGGAGGTGTCCTTAGTTTCGGTAACGCCTAACTTAGGTGTTGAGGAGCGGCTCGAGCAACGTTAATTGATCCCTCCCCGCACTGGGTCATCATTGGCTGTGGCCCGGGCATTGTCCCTCCGTTTGGGTTGTACTGTACTCTGTACTGCTGCATGTCTTCAACCTTTTAGTGCCCCGAGGCTGGAGAATTGTATCACTAGCTCCGCCAATAGCAGCGGGATATGATCAAATATCCCTGCAGCGTGTTCTCGTATACAAATGCGTCGTGTCATCCCTTCCCTTGCAAGAAGGCCATCGCTTTTCGGATGTGGTGTGGCTCCCAACCATTGCTGGGCACGGGAAGTTGCTGGCTGCTTGCAGAGGGGCAGTGTCTGGATCGCTGATCGCTGCTCCTTGCCCTACCTACCGAACGTGAGGGAAATCTGAGGGTAAAATGTGGGACGAATACGAGATTGCTCTTCCGCATTGCAACTTTATATATATCCCTGGGCCTTTCGCAGCTGCATATCTCATTTCTCTTCTTGACCTTGATGGTGCACGTAAAACTACCCATCAGGATGGCAATATCGTATCAATCTGTTCCTATGGATAACGAAAAGCCCGAAGCGGTCTCGCCGCACTTCCATGAAATCCTTGGAGAGGATGTTCAGTTAACGGACGAAGCGGGCACGCGGGTTGGCCACAACTTCTTCATCGATGAAGCTGGCCAGGTGGAAGAAGAGCAGAAAACCAGCGGAGAAAGTGTTTGGTGAGGAGCTTGATTCCTGTCCGATGTGAGAGTCAGCGATTTGGATTGCAGCCTATTAATGCCTTTTCTTCTTCTTCATTTTGCAGGCGGGTGTTGAATGAGCGGCAGATTAATGTGAGTTAGGAATTAGTTTATTGAGTGTGGACAAGAGTTTCGCTAACTCCACATTAAACCTCCGGTTTAGATGATAGCCTTTTCTGGGTATAATAAACCCAATCCCGTCAAACTCCCAGCACCATGACGTTGGAACTTGTCAATTAACGAAATATGCCTTGGTCAATAGGACAATTGGAAATGGTAGCTCCTCTCCCACAACTTCGCAGCTAGAGGATCTAACGTCTAATTATTAAAAAAAAAAAAAAAAAAAGGGCTTTTTCTTGGGAGCGGTCGATCCCTTGCTTCTGCTGGGCCTGGCGGCGCAGTTCTGGGCTATGTGCTCATGGGCACGGTTATCTCCTCAGTCGTCTCCTGCTTGGGTGAAATGACTGCATTGATGCCGGTAAATGCTCCAATTATGGAGTTTCCTCGGCGCTTCCTAGATCGTGGTGTTGGTTTTGCTGTCGGTTGGATATACTGGTACAGTTAACTATATTATACACTATTTATCTCAGCTCTTTAGGCGATGGCAGCTAACAGAATAAGGTTCGCCTACGGAGTGCTTGCAGCTGACCAGCTAGTTGCCGTGGCAAACACTATTCGTTTTAAATATATCGATGATTATGGAACGCATTTGGAATGGGTAACTGGAAGGAGTGTTCATGCAGCAGTGTGGGTGTCAGTAGTTCTAGTAACTGTAACGTTGATCAATACGTGGCCCGTCAAGGTAAGCAATGATGGTATCCGATATTGCCTGTTACCATATAATAAACAAGACTTCTACTAACGCTCGCAGTACTATGGCCAACTCGAATACGTTTTCGGTTGTATAAAACTTTCGTTCCTCGTTTTAGCCATTCTAATGATGGTTATTTTGGGTACAATGAAGCGTTAGTTACGCAACTTCGTGAGTGCTGCAAAGCAATACTAACTTTATCCGGGAAAATAGCCCTGGACACCAGATACCATAGCACGCCCGTTGGTACCCGCTGTATGTATATGAGCATAATTGACATATTTAGTTACCAGATTGAAGCTAACGAATGATCCAAGACTGGGACTCACCGTACTCCTTTTTTAGGCCAACGTATACGGTTCGAGGCCACACAACGGGTGACGTTCAGCGAGAGATCGGAGGTTCGGTTGGCACATTCCTTGGGGTGTGGTAAGACTTGACCTACGTGTTTTACATTTGTGACCCCTAGTGCCTGGCTATGTGCTGAGTGGTCTGGTTGTGCATATAGGACTACTTTCACAAACATTATTTTCTCCTATGTGGGAATGGATATGGTTGCAGCCACAGCAGCGGAAAGTAAAGCGTTATCCAACGCCGAGAGTATGAAGATGGCGTCGCGCAAGGTTTCGATTCGAGTCGTTACTCTGTACACTCTCTGCATGTTGACAGCTTCATTTCTGGTCCCATATGATCATCCTTTCCTCAACGGTGAAGGCCAATCTGAGAGCTCGCACTCAATATTTTTGATCGCTGTAGTCCAAGGGGGACTCCCGGCCGCTGCTCACTTTTTCAACGCAATCTACTTGTTTTCTGCCTTTGCATCCGGGATTAACACCATGTACGTCTCTTCGAGAGTCTTGCATACTTTGGCGCTACGTGATCAGACGGGACCAGAGTTTATCACCAGAAGGTTGCGTCAGTGTCACAATGGTGTTCCACTGAGGGCAGTCTCGGTGACTGGAGCATTGATGTGCCTTGGGTACTTGGGGACTGGATCTTCAGGCCAGGTTAGTAAAACAACATTTATTGGTATTGAGATGAACTTTTGCTGACCATGATTGAAAAATGACGTGTAGAGATTGAGCGAGCTTGCAACGAACTGCACGGTGTCATGTTTGATTGTGTACATTGTAGTCTGTGCTACTTACCTAGGGTTTTTTAAAACGTAGGCGCAATCGCCATATCCAGCTATTTGTTGTTACGATAAGGCTAACGATATGTACATGTACATGTACATACATAGATTACATGACGTTAAACTCTATGGGAATACATCCGAAGCCCAAGCTGCGTGCTATGATCGTAATCACCCTCAGTACCCCTACAAATCCCACGGACAGTGGCTAAAAGCTTGCTACGGTTTGGTTGCATGCACCCTGTTGGTTATATTCAACGGAGTGCCCTCTTTCCTCCAGGACCCATTCGATCTCCGCGGATTTTTCGCGTCATACATTGGAGTAAGCCTCCCCGAGTTGAATTTTTACAATGATGGCAGTGGATTCCTAGAATTGCAGAATCTAATTTGGAATATAGGTTCCCGTATTTTTCGTGCTTATTGTAGGCTACAAGTTGTCCAAGCATGGGCTCGACTTTTCGCATTGGGGCCCGGAGAGGTCCAATGATCTTCGCAACTGCGTCCAGGTCACGAGCGAGAGGAGGAAGGGAAGATTACAGTTCCCAGACGACGGTCTTACCAAAGATAATCTGCAGGAATTCGCCCAATGGGTCTGGGTGTGGACGAAGTAACGTGGGCGGCTTACGACGAGAAGCTTGATTAATTTAAACAGCGAGATTATATTTTTAGGGCATGCATGGGTGGATATACCAATCTGTTACCATTTTCACTTCCAATATAAATTAATGCATGTGAATATAATTTTGTTTATTGATTATCCAAGTTCATAACTATCATGTTTCGATATAACCTGCGCTCTGTTGAATTCTATAAACTCCTGCCTGTTAGATGCCCTTTTGCATAGACAGCCGGACTTAACAAGCCTCCCAGGTATTCGCCATCCCCAGAACTAGAGGTTATACGGGGGGGTCATTGGTGGCTTTATAACCCATGTTAGTAATGTTGTGAGGCGGGAATGAACAGTGTGAAGAACTAATAGTATGTAAGAAGAAGCAAGTAAAAGATATATTATAGATGTAAATAGAGCTAATCACTGAAGAAGAAAAGAGAAGAGAAGTGTTCTCTCAGACTTCTTCAGTACTAATTTATAGATGTGTGTGATTTGCTTAGATATAAATCTTAATATAGGCTTAGATATGCTAGAATTAAATCTCAGTTAATATCTGATAGTACAATTGCTTTTTTTCTTTCTTAGAAGCTGTTCTCAGTCATCTACATAATGATTATTCATATGTAAATTGTGTGTATAGTAATCATTGTTAATACTTGTAGCAATATAAGTGTATACTTAAATAATAATTAATACAGAAAAGAGATATATTGATTTACAGCTAATATAATATAATAACATTTTCTACAGTGTGATTATTCAAAGATGATTCTATTATGTTTATTGTATTTATAAAATGATTGTGATTGTGTTATTGAAAACAGTGAGTTTATACAATAAACAAATTTTTTATAAAATATCTTAATGCACACGAGCCTCTGTGTGCAAAGACATTGCAGAGCTAAGCTCAAAACAGAAGACCCTGCAAGATTGATTTTACAGCTTATTATTAATAATAATAGAAGGAATAGAACTGTAAAAACATATAAAGATTCATTTTTCAGTGTAAAAGCACCAGCTAACTAAGCAAGAAAAAAAATAAAAAACACTCTACTCTGTCTCATTAGCTCATATATCATTCTCAAGAATAGTTTGAGTGATCTGAAAAAGACTTGTAATAGTTCTGAATTTAATCTTCAGAACTGCATTCTTCTTGCACAGAGTCTCATTTTCAATATAAAGAGTTAAAATCTCAATATCATAATCATTAACTGACTTAACACTTGTTATTTATTTTTTCAAGATCTTAGCTTCTGTATTCTCAGCTGCAGAATACTTCTTAAATAAACTCTTCTTCTTGACTTTCTTTCTCTTTTCATTCTTCTACTTCTTTTCTTTCACTTTATCATTCTTCTTACTGATATTGACTATATATAACTATTAGTTAATTGTATTGAAATTGACATATTTTATATTAAAAAGTGACTCACTTCTATGATAAGAGCAGCAACTTTCAGTGTTATTGTAATAATAACTGATACAAGCTTCATGACACTGATTCAGAGCACTGATACAGATGATAAAAGAGTCTTCTTCTCTAGCACAGTGACTGCAGAGAATCATAAAAACAGCATCACAGAATTATAGAAGAAGAGCTTTATAATTTGTATTAATTTTTATATTAATCTGACAACTCTTCTGCAAGACTGACTCATAAGTATAGAATAATTTAATAAGAGTCTGTAGCTTCTTTAACAGCTTCTCAGACATTCTTTCAGTTAAATGAGTCAATAGTTGACTTGATAATCTAGAACTGACAGACATAGCAGAGGCAGATGCAGGCATAGATACAGAACTGAAAATGAGATTAATAACTGATAGCTCAGCAGACTGAACAAGATTGTTAAGAACTGTACTGACTGTTAGAATTATAATTTTCATCATTTTAAGAATCTTACTTACAATGAATGTGTTTTGAGATGTTATTTTCAGCTATAATAATAGTATTGATGATTTTTTGAACTTCTGATAAATTAATAGAGATAAATGATATAATTTCTGAAAAAAAAAAAAATAGCTGACAGAGATGAAAGATGAGAGATAAGATGAATTCTTCAAAGAGAAAGAAAACACTCTGAGATTCATTCACTTTCTCTTATACATGTGTTAATAACTGTAAGAATTCAATATTTCTTATCATATAATACAACACAGATCTTAATAACACAGGTCTCAGAAGATTCTTGATCTCTCAGATCAAAGATATTATTATATTAAATCTGAGCTGTATAAATTAATATCTGAATTATTTCAATATCTTCTGTAGACTGCTAACTACTCATTCTCAGATTCAGTGATTATAATAGAATCAGCTGCAATAGATTTGTCAAATTCAATGATTGAATTCAGTGAATCTGTGAGCAGAACAGGCAGAGAGAATGATAGAACAGAGAATGAAGAACTTACAGTAATAAAGAATAAGTGAATGAGCAGATTAAATGTGAACTGTGAAAAAGATGAAATAAAGAGCAGATGAAGCTATATAGAATATAGATTAGCAGAGATATATAAAAAGAAAAGAGATATAACTTAGTTATCTGTTAACTTTGATATCTTATATAATCAATCTCATACATCTGCATGCTTCTGCTTACTTCATCATCAGACTGATGAAATCTGAAATAATTAAAGAATTATTTGAATAGAAGATCTTGATATATTTTGACCTGTGAAACTGCAACATATGTGAGATCAGTCTGAAATTCAGTCTCAGAAATATCAAGAATGATCTGATCAAGTGATAATTCTTGAAATTTATGAACAGTAATAGCATATGCAACTGTAATAGAGAACTGCATGTAGCTGCAGGCTTGATTAACATGAGAAAAGTCATGGCAGCTGCAAAAGATAGGCACAAGTTTAAGATTCTCTTATTTCAAATAAGTAGAGCTGTTATATTTGTCAAAATTGATTAACAGTGTAAATAAAGAATCTTGATAAGAATTCTTCACATCTGAACTTCATATAATATTATGAAAAGTCTCAAGAGCACTGTTAATGAGACTGCAGTCTGTTTAAATATTCTGTAGAAGTATGATTCAGCAGCTGATAAAGAGAGAAAGATTCTAATGAAGATTATCAGCCTTGTCAGAATCTAACTGAGAAGTGTCTATATCAATATTTATAATCTGAATATTAATAACAGGTTGTTTATGACTTTGAATAGCATTATTATTATAGATATGAACATGGCACTTCTTTATATAAATGTGAATTGCATTCTCAAAGATCAGAGCTTCATGAGAGATAAGAGCCTGCACACACTTTGAAAGAAACTTTCAATCATTCAGAGTTAACTGATCAAGATAAAGATTTTTCAAGATCTTATAAAACTGACAGCTGATGACATCTTTATTCACTTATCATTGAATCACAGTAAGTTGAATGATTTTACTAAAAGTCAAGTAGATTTAATGACTCTGAATGTCTTCTTTATAATTAATACATCTGTTATGATAGAGCAGAGTTTGAAAAACAGATAAGAGTTGATAGAAATCTTCACTGAGAATGACACTGAGATTATCAAAATAAGTATTCTTATAAGAGAATATGTAATGACAGATCTGATTAATTCATGAAAGTTGCTGTAAATCAATCATTGACTTTTCATCAATTAACAGATAGTGAACATCCTTAAAAAGAGCCTGCAAAGATTGAAGATTTTGAGGGTTGAGCAGTTCATATAACATGTTCTTATGTATGAGAAGCTGAAATAATGCATGCAAGGTTTGAGCATTAATGAAGTGAGCAGCTACATCAGTTGACACAGCTCAAATGATTGAGATTGAGAGATCTTAAGTCTCTGCAAGATTTTGAAGAGTTGTAGACAAAATCATAATCAGATAAGTTTTATCAGTGTCATCTTCATCATCTAGATTAATTAGTAAAGAATTCAGAAACTCACTGTTAAGAATCTCAGTATAATGATAAAGAATAGTGTCATGAAGAAGATGTTGATCAGAATCTAGAGTTTTGAGTAAGTCATGTTTATGAAGAGTAGTGTCTGCAGAGAAGTCAGTCTTCATATTATTTTAAAATTCTGTGTCAAGATTGATATAAGTGTCAACATGAGAGCTTCAATCATAGTTGAAATCTAAGAACTGATGATCAAGCTGTTCATAGTTTTAGATGTCAATGAGGTCATTATTATCATACTGTGAGTTTTGACAGATGAGCAATGCTTAAGAGAGATCAAGCTTCTCTTTATTATTCTGATTATCTTCAAACTTAGGTTCTGATTTCAGCATGTCTTCATCATAGACATTAACTGAGTGATTATAAGAAAGACAGTAATAATTAAAGATCTCTGTAAAAGAGAGTTAAGAAGTGAGAAGATCAACAATCTTGAGATCTTTAATTTGATGAAAAGAGTGATGAAGAAGAAGTTTGATATGAGTATAGTTCTCTGAATCAGTTTCAAACTGATAAATAGAAAAGTAGATCAACACTCAGAGTTTTATACAAGAACATCTCTTAATTTAATGACTGTGAGAAAAGATTTGAAGAAATTCAAGAAATGAAAGATCTTCAAATTCAGTTGATCACTGCTTATATTTTTTCAAAAAGAATAAACTACATTGTAATTCATCAGATTCAAGAATATAGCTATGATAATATTAAGATTCAGGCTGACAATCAACTGCAATTGACTCATGAGAACTCATTTATAAAGAAAGATTTAAAAGAAGATGATAAATCTTCTAAGCAGATTAATCATGCTTGCTAATGAGTCAATTCATAAGTTTAACAACTGTAGAGAGTAGTGAATAGCTTGAACTGACTCTTGAAATCACTTATTAAATAATCTGATGATAGAATTCTGTGTCTGTTTCAGCCTTGACAATGTACTTAGACAGATAATCAAGGATGGCACAGCTGCCAGTGCAGGGAACAATATCAGTATTTACTAGCCAGCTAACTGTAATTAATCTGTTATAGTTATTGAGAATTGAGTTGTTACAACAGAGATGCAGCCAGTAATATCTACTACTCAAAGATTTGAGAATAGCACAGTCAGTTCAGCATTCATGCAGAAAGTGAAATCAGTAATATAGATTATCAGTAACTCAGTGTTTATAAATGCAGTACTTTTCACTACAGTGATGATGTTGAACACAGTTGAGAACTGTAGATAAATGTTCAATGACATTTATCTGATCAGAATGACTGAGGAAAAGAGATGATCATACATCTTCAGACTGAGTGTGATTAGGCTCA